TTTCATATTATCGCAGAACAACCTTCAACCAATCTGGTTCAATTTCTCCTGTGATGATTCCAATCACATTATAAGTATCTTTTCTTTTCTGTCGATTGTATGATTTCAATTGAATTGTACTATTGAAAACAAACCATAGTTTTTAAAGATCTTGCTATTCAATCATCTTACGATGCATCACGAAGTTCTCCACCATAACGATACGTTACATTTCGTAAACCTCCACGCCATTGAGCATCTACTTCATCTTCTTGCAAATACCTAAATGTGACATTTTTTTATCAATTAAAAGTAAAGAAGTACGATTACTCACTGAAGAAGAATTTCAGCTTCACTATAACCGATTGGTTGAACGGGAATTTTCGGTAGAAAACTGGCACTATCTTCTGCCACTCTATACATATAATCTATAGTATTGAAATACACTATACATCCTAAGCTGATAACGAAAATATTGCAAAACCTCTCGATGGATATATACGAGTCAAAGAATCACCATTCGAAGTGAAAGCTGACCCTCGTTGTACGCCACTTGGAGGCATATACCACTTTTGATCATAGACTTGATCAGCTGTTGTTCCGAAAGGAGCATAATTAGCTGGATCATTGTATGTATCATCCATAATAGAAAAAAAATACCTTATCCCCTCGAAAAATACGACTATATCTCATAATAACGATACTACCGTTAAGACTAGCATTTCCAGTCATAGATGCTAAGGACGGGGGCGCATAAGAGGTCAAATCGGCCCATTAGGAATTGTTCGGGATAACCCTATTGAATCATATATCATTTGAAAGAGCAAGTTAAAATGAACATTTTGATGCTATTTTCATGGGGTTTCGATCGAATTTTTGAAGCGGAAAGCTATTTACAAAGTTACTCATTTTTGGGCACTAATCCAATAATCGATCATATCCATGGTCGCCCCAGTTTTGGTATAAGTTGATATGGAAAAATGGTTGTGAAATTAAGTATTTGATAGCTTCTTGATGGGGCTTTAGTCCTATATAAGAATTAATAGTTCCTTGTTCGATTCAGTCAGAACAAGATCTGGGATATTATTAGACACTATTGACATATGGCCTATATTTATCAGTAACTTTTATCTTTCAACAAATATTTCATCGAATAAATTAAAGGGACCAAAATTCTGGTATAGCTCATTCGATAGCGCTTTTCAAAAGCTACAAAATCGTATATTTTCTAAAGTCTTAAAAACTTGGCCCCTAGGAAAATTTCCAACCAAAACATGCTAGGGGTATGATTTATGATCATTTTTCACTAATAATGTACCTATGTTTTTTGAAAAAGTTCTACTATGAGTTCAAACTAATATCAGATTCGGATTCAGCATTGAAAACTGAGTGGACCTATATATATTCGAAATCTCTCCGACAACTTTCATTTTTTTCGAAAAATTCACCCGTACTCCCCCTCAGGGAACAATTCTTCAAAAATACCTTGAGGGGGAGTACGGGTGAATTTTTCGAAAAAAATGAAAGTCGTCGGAGAGATTTCGAGTATATATAGGTCCACTCAGTTTTCAATGCTGAATCCGAATCTGATATTAGTTTGAACTCATAGTAGAACTTTCTCAAAAAACATAGGTACATTATTAGTGAAAAATGATCATAAATCATACCCCTAGCACATTTTGACTAAAAGTTTTCCTAGTGGCCATATTTTTAAGAGCTTAGAAAATATACGATTTTGTAGCTCTTGAAAAGTGCTATCAAATGAGCTATACCAGAATTTTGGTCATTTTAATTCGTTCGATAAAATATTCGTTGAAAGATAAAAGTTAGTGATAAATACAGACCATATGCCAACAGTGTCTAATAATATGTCAGGTCTTGTTCTGACTGAACCGAACAGGGAACTATTAATTCTTACATAGGATGAGAACCCTATCAAGAAGCAATCAAATACTTAATCTGACAACCATTTTTCCTTATCAATTTACACCAAAACTGGGGCGACCATGGATATGATCGATTATTGGATTAGTGCCCAAAAATGAGTAACTTTGTAAATAGCTTTTCGCTTCAAAAATTCGATCGAAACCCCATGAAAATAGCATCAAAATGTTCATTTTAACTTGCTCTTTCAAATGATATATGATTCAATAGGGTTATCCTGAACAATTCCTAATGGGTCGATTTAACCTCTTATGCGCCCCCGTCCTCTGTGAAGATCTTCTAGTTCATCATAATTCGCGTAGAATAATTTCGTCTATTATATTCATCTTGGGGCTAAGCTGGATGCTACCAAGCGGGTCCACAGGTTGCGGATAGTGGAACGACCATTAGTACGATGGTTAGCTGCGAATAAGATCAAGCGATTGATCAAATAAACAGTCCCGGACAATACTCAGCCTTCTTGCCAACAGGGTGTGGTGGGGTTTTGATTGGAACCGAAACTCTTATAAAATGCCACAGAAACCCAAAGACGACAGGATGACAGGGCGAGTATAGGCCGCCAGAAACAAGATTCCCTCCGAATCGAGATTTCATAAGCCTTATCCTGGGTCGATGAAGCTCGCTAGCCTTGACTAGCAATTTCATCAAATGGAGAAAACCATTCTAAACCGGCGGAAGGCAAGGGGAAACCACCGCTGTACATTCCCAAGCACAACATGATAAACGTCAAGATTTTCAGACAAGATAACAGCGTGAAGGGGGTTCTCGGAGAGAACATCTCGCTCGGTAGAGGTGGTCATGTACGACAGGTGACCCTCGATCGTCAACAGGCTACTGTCCAAACCAAAAACTCACTCAAAATAGGAACGTGGAATGTAAGAACTATGTTCCAGAAAGGAAAATTAGACAATATAAAGAACGAAATGGAACGGATGAAAGTAAATGCGTTAGGCTTATCTGAAGTCAGATGGCTGGGTGCTGGATCCTTTACAACGGATAACTTTCTTTTATTATACTCTGGAGGAGACAAACACGAGAGAGGAGTAGGAATGCTTCTTGACAAAGAAACCTCCAAGAGTTTGCAAGGCTTTTGGGCGGTTTCAGACAGGGTTCTTCTTGTAAAACTCTACGGAAAACCTTTCAACATCTCACTAATTCAATGTTACGCACCAACCGCTGATTATGATGATGATGCCATCACGAGCTTCTATGAAGATCTAGACAAAGCCTACAAACAATGCAAGTCTGATGATATCATCTACGTAATGGGTGATTTCAATGCAAAAGTGGGAGATAAAAGAATTGGCAATACAGTAGGACCCTTCTGTCTAGGAAACAAAAATGACAGAGGAGATAACTTGATAACCTGGTGCCAATCACGTAATCTCGTAATCACAAACACATGGTTTAAAAACCACCCACGTAGACTATGGACATGGCGAAGCCCAGGAGACCGGGCAAGAAATCAAATAGATTATATTATGGTCCCTCATCGATTCAGGAATTCAATCATTTTCTCCAAAGCATTTCCTGGAGCAGACTGTGGTAGCGATCATGTCCCAGTCATCAGTAAAATTCGAGTGAAATTAAAAAGAATAAAACAACCACAAAGAAATACAAAGCTTCAAGTTCATATTCTGAAAAGTGATCCAGATCTGAAAGAAAAATTCCGCATAAAAGTACAAAATCGTTTTGAAGCACTAGATGAAATCACAGAAACCGAGATATTGTGGGAACAGATGAAATCATTCATAATAACATCTGCTGAAGAAGTAATTCCTAAAACACATTTAAAGAAAAAGAAACGATGGATGACTAATGAAATTTTACAACTAATGGAGCAAAGACGACTGAAGAAGTCAAACCTCCAAGAATACAAATTGATAGACAAAGCAATCAAAAAGAAATGTTCAGAAGCAAAAGAGAAATGGCTGAACGAACAATGCTCAGAGATCGAAAACAAGCTGAGTGTAAACACCAAATTTGCTCATCAAAAGATTAACGAAATAACAGGAAAATCAAAATGCACCAGTTCAGGTTGTATCAAATCAAAAAATGGAACCGTTCTTATGGAAAAAGGTGACATACTGAACAGGTGGACAGAATACATAGAGGAACTCTTCGACGACAATAGAACTTCTAAACCTAACATAAAGAAAAATATAGAAGGACCTCCAATAATGAAAGATGAAGTAAGACTGGCCATAAAATCAATGAAAACAAACAAAGCGACAGGGCCAGATGGAATATCCATCGAAATGATTCAATGTCTCGATGAACTAGGTGTAGATGTCATGACAAAACTAATAAACAAAATATATGACACAGGTGAAATTCCGGAAGATCTAACAAAATCAATATTCATAGCGCTTCCAAAGAAGCCTGGAGCTACTGAATGTGAATTACATCGCACAATCAGTCTCATGAGTCATATCACAAAAGTTTTGCTTAAGATTCTGATGATGCGTATGAAAAATAAGATCACGCCAGAAATAGCAAAAGAACAATATGGATTTATGCCTGATAAGGGCACTAGAAATGCAATCTTCATCCTTCGAACGATAATCGAAAGATCAATTGAAGTCAAACATGATCTATACCTATGTTTCCTTGACTACACAAAAGCTTTTGATAAAGTCAAACACGACAGTCTATTCCAAATTTTGGAAAAACTCGACATCGATGGCAAGGAACTACGAATAATTCGAAATCTTTATTGGGATCAAAAAGCTGCCATACGAATAAATAACGATACTAGTGACTATACAGGTATAAAGAGAGGTGTCAGACAAGGTTGTGTTCTATCTCCAGATCTTTTCAACATATATAATGAAATGATACTTAGAAATCTAGAAGATGTTGAAGGAATAAAAATTGGAGGTAAAAATTGTAATAATATAAGATATGCAGACGACACCGTACTATTGGCAAGTAATGAACAAGACCTACAGAAAATGATTGATATAGTCTCAAAAGAAAGCATAAAAATGGGACTATCACTCAATATTAAGAAAACAGAATGTATGTGTGTTTCAAAGAATAAAATCACACCGACATGCAAAGTTTACATAAATAGAGAATCAATCAAGCAAGTAAATCGCTTCAATTATTTGGGATCCGTCATAACCTCAGATGGTAGATGCGATGAAGACATCAAAATGAGAATAGCTCTCTCTAAACAAGCGTTCCAAAAGATGAGTCCAGTTCTGAAAAATAGAACCCTATCGATCGACACTAAAACAAGAGTACTCAGATGTTACGTTTGGTCGATTCTGCTATACGGTTCCGAATGTTGGACAATCAGTAAAGAAATGGAAAAACGCTTAGAGGCTACTGAAATGTGGTTTCTCAGAAGGATGCTTAATGTACCTTGGACTGCTAGAGAAACAAACGAATCAATATTAAAAAGAACGAAATCGAAAAGACTTTTAATCAATACCATCCGTTATAGGCAACTAAAATTCCTTGGCCACATAATCCGTAAAGGTTGCATAGAACATCTGGTACTGAGTGGGAAAATCAATGGAAAGAAAGATAAAGGCCGACCTAGAATCAAATATCTAGAAAACGTGAATCTATGGATTGAAAAACAAGGTTATGCGAAAATAGACTTTCTTCACGCAGCACAAGATCGGAAGAATTGGCGTATCATGTTAGCCAACGTCTGTAACAGATAAGGCATCTATCTGATCTGATTATA